AATAAATAAATAAAATGGACTGGGAATGTGGCACCTCTGTTTTCAATCTCCAGCTCAAAAAAACGGTGATGGGAGGGGCTCTTCTTAAACCACGGGAAAGGGTGCACAGTCTCAAGGTTAATATTTATTTCCACACCAAATTAAGTCAATCACAAGGAGCTTCATTGCTCACATTTTTGAAAGCCACTTCTACTTACCTACATTTTGTCTTTCTCTGTATATAATCATTTTCATAGACATGGAGGTTGGTAGAGACCTCAGGAAATATCTAGTATATCTTCTTATATCTCTAGCTAAAGTCTTTAAGCAATTGACTAACTGTACTACAATTAATGATCATGATCATTCCTGAATGCACAGTTGCCAGAAGTACCATGTTCAGTACCCCAGAAAGGAAGTTTCTCCTCTTTCTCAACCTGAATTTCACTATTTACAAGAGAAAGGTAGTAAAACACATCATCATCATATTATCTATGACAACCCTTAATATATTAAGAGTCACTTTTTTGTTTCAGTTGGGATATCAGTTTAGGTACACAAATACCAGCATTATCTACCTACCAATTATTGGAAAGACAAAAGCCAAGTGAAGCAATACAAATCAGCTATTTATCCACTGATAAAGCTTTTATTTTTCACCAGAAGCTAGATTTTCTCCTACTATGAATTTATAAATGATCACACCCATAAACTCATGTCATTTTAAAACAAATTTGTCATCCCCATCAAAATGGAAACCCTGTGAGGGCAGGTACCAGTCTATCTTGCTCATCTGCATACTCCCATTATCCAGCACACAGCAGGCTCTTCATCTTATCTGCAGAACTGACAAAGGCCCTTCAAAATCATTACTGTCCAGCGGTCTTAACTTTGGAGATATGAAAATAGTTTATAAGTCATACCTGGAAACAATTTGCCCAAGATTGTGTAACATGTTAATGACAAAATCAGGATTATTTCGGATGCTTTATTCCCCATTCACATTCTCCATCCATTACCTAAAACTATGGGCAGGCTACACTACTGACTAGTAACATACACAAACCTTAGTGATCTAAGCAGCTTTTGGTTGACTGTCTGGCTCCCACTGTTCTTTATCAGAACATGAAAGCCCTTCCATAAATATGCCTGGTTTAAGCATTCTTTATGTAAGACTCCAAGAAACAGAGCCCAGGACAGAATTCTACAGCCATAATAAAGAGCCAGCTTATTATGTCATATGAGGGTCAGATTTTACAGAGGCCAAACCACAGATGTCAGCTATCTTCCATGGCTCAGTTAGCTACTGCTAAATCAAATATTCTGCTAAACAAGAGCTTCTATGTGTAAGGGTTTTTAAAATTTGTCATCTTAGATATTTTTAAAAGCAAAATTTTTTTAAAAAAATAGAACTTTTCCTGAGCTCATGAAAAAAGTAAATGTGAATTTTTTCAGGGGAACAAAGATGATCTAAAATTGGATTGTGGTGATGACTGCTCAACTATAAATTTATTACAGATCTTAAAATAGGTAAATATGGTCAACTATATTTCAGTAATGCTGTTAAAAAAAATAAGTCTGAAAAGGAGTCCGGTACCTAAGCTACTTCCTTTTGTAAACATCTGGTATTAAAACCATAAAGACACTCTTTACTGCCACCATGCTCTTTTAAACCCAGGTCCTGTCTATCTACTTCGTCACACTTCACATAAAATGTCAGAAGTTTCCCTCTAATTTTGGTAAAAGTAATTTAGAAGACTAATATAAATATCCAAAAATAATCAACCTTTATTGATATAACAAAAGAAATTAACTAATATAATTATCTACATAAATATCTTATAGATGTTTAAGCATTAGCAATTAAAATTTGTTAATTTAAAATTAAGTGTTTAAGTTTAAAACTTGCCATTAATCAGCCATTGGGAGCCAAGCAAGTTACATGACATCTCTGGGCTTCCATTTGCCCACTTATATCATGTACCCCTATGGCCCACATTAGAGTTAAATAGCATATAAAAAAATAGAAATTATTATGTAATGCAACGCTACTAATATTGCAAACTTTTTACAAAAATTATTTCCTGTGAAGGTACAATTATTCCTTTTTTTTTTTTTGCCCCATAAGAAATTGGAACATAGAAAAGTTGATTACTTTGAGCAATAGCAGATCCAGAATTCCAAACCATAGTTATTCAGTTCCACAACCTATATGAATCTCTATTCCTTATTTGACCTTGGACTTTTGAGTAAGGTGTGGGCATGAATCCTGCCCTAGACTTTAGTGTGTTAATCACTTTCTCTGATTCCCAACTTCCTCATCTATAAAAGAAGATTATTAGTATTTAATTGTTATGAAAATTAAATTTGTGTGTCTCCTATTGATAAGAAGCCATTCAATAAATACTCTTTCTCACAGGAGTCCCACAGAAGTTCCTTCTTCTGTATTGAGAGAGAGAGAGAGAGAGAGAGAGAGAAAGTTGTGATTTCCTTCTAGTCTACCTGGAACAAACCTCACTGGGACCGAGTTCTATCAAAAGCAATTAGAGTGAACACAAACAACCAGCATTACTCCTTTGCTATCATTCCTTGGCTCTATGTCTGAGACTGTCAACAAGAGTGTCAACTTCAAGGGGTGGGCATCTGTCCACAGGAACTGAGCTGAAGTCACAGACTTGTCTCGCTCTGCCCTGCAAACAGATGTCTGGGTGACAATCTTAGTCACTCTGAACCACTGTTAGAGCCAAAATCAGGTGGGAAGTGCTGTATCTCCTTTCTAATCCTCTTGGCCAGGCTGTTCGTTCCCTAAGACAATACCTCACTGATCAGAATTCAAAATAGCTAGTTTTTGCCAGGATACTATTTTTAAACATAATGCCCTTATTTTTATGATGTCTGATTATTTCACAAGCAAAAGACTATGTCTGTAACAGGGGTTTGTCAGCAAGAAACCCCTTTGATTCTGCATATTGGAATGCACACCTTTGCAGTTAGCCAGGTAAAAACTGATGTAATGTGGAGCTCTAGTGGTGGCAATGAAGTAAAGCAGCTGTTTAAAAAAAAAAAAAAAAAAAAACAAGGAAATTACCATTTATTATTCAATTACCATGTTAAGATTAAAAAATGGTCCAAATGCATCTTCTAAGATGGCAAACTCCAAACATAGTCACTTTCTTCCAGATGGCAAGTTAGACTTCAATAGCTAGTCTGCATTAAATATCATCAAGCAGTAATATCTTCTTAGAAAAATAGAACTCTAGTGCTATGAAAGTCACTTTTCTACTTTTTAACCAAGTTCACTTTAAAAACCTACTAATTTAATGCTACCTACTTTTTCACATAGCAAGCAAAAGTACTATATATTTAAAAAACTGCTAAACTCTAAGTGGTGTGATCAGTGAAATCCTTTATCATACCAACTTTCCTGGGAAGTGAAATAATCTCTACACACTGATGAGGCTGTTGTGTGTTAATTCCTGCACTAGGAAAGTACCTTTCTTGAATATCTGACTTCAGAGGTCTTTGCCAACTTGAAAACAACTAAGAGTAAAACCTGTAATGTCAAATGTTAACCCTTTGTTTTGCTGTTACCTAGAGTATTCATCTTCCCTATCAAAAGCCTTAATTAAAAAAAAAAAAAATACATAGCTCAATTATGGTCAACAACATAATAGAATAGAAAATTCTATTTTTATGCTATACTACCTGGAGTTGCCATTTAAAATTTCTAAACATGGTGGCTGATTTAGCTGTGTCAAAACAAGTTACCACCGAGGGAAAATAATCTTAGAATGTGAGTAAATACAGGAACTAGTCTTTCCATAGACATGCATCACTTACAATGGGGATATGTTCTGAGGATAACATTGTTAGATGATTTTTATCAGTGAGCTAACATCATATGGTGCTCTTATACAAACTAAGATGGCTTGGCTGTCATTAGGTAATGTAATCTTATGGGACCATCATCATTTATGTGGTCTGTAATTAGCCAATCTGTCATTATGTAACACATAACATATATATATATATATATATATATATATATATATATATATATATATAAAATACATATAACATATATATATATATAATGTTTTTGAACATTAAAGTCACTTTCCATGCAGGATGATAAAAGAAACCAAAATGTTCATTGATGCATGAATAATGCTTATCTGAAAAACACTGAGACTCTTAGGACTTTTTATAGTTTATATCCTGGAATCTACTAAAAGTTTTTCAATAGCCATATTCCAAGGGCTTTTAAATTGTTAAGCCTACAGATAACTACCAAGTCTCAGAGATCTGTGAATGAAGATTTAATGATTACTGAGGGGTTTTACTCATTGATGTCTCTCTTCTTCATCCTTCTAATATGCTGTCATAGATATAGTTCTCTGAAACTGCACCAAAAAAAAAATGGCAAAAATACAAAAGCCTTTTCTGGTGATTCACTGAGAATGCAATATTTACAGTGGGAAGCTCAAGGTAAATAATTAATTTCTTTTTTGTCTTCATCTTTAGCTATAGGTTAGGAGAGAGAGAGAGCCTTTCTGATAAAATAGGTAAAAGGTGAGCAAGAAGTGGAGGAGGTTTATGAATGTAATCATATGCCAACAGGAACAAACAGAAACCTTCACTAATGCAGCATTTGCCATGAAAGAACACAGAATCTAACAATTTTATAGTCCTTTTCACCACAGACGTTAACATGATAAAACTGAATACTTTCAATGTGTGAATCTAAGCACTATGCCTTTGTATATCATCTTGCCTGTATTTTCCATGGTGATTGTTTCTATCTCCTTTGCTTTCCCATAACAGACCTAGGTATGCAGCTTAAAATAATATTAGGGGCTTTATTTGCCATCCTTTCGACTAAGGACATGTTGATTTTATTAAAGCAAGTTGGGTCTGCATTCTTTCTTTACTATTATTACAGGTAGACTTGACAGACACAGGACCTTTGTTTGCAAATGTTCTGCTCTGGAGAAAACCTTGTTAAATAAGTTCCACTTTACCTGCTGGGCAGTTGCACTCTGAAGGTGCTTCTCTTGCAATTCTTATTTTAGCCATATGTTCATAGGATTTCTGTAGGAAAAGAAGAGGTATTAGCGATCATCAGTAGCACTGTAGAAAAATGGAGTCTTTCGGGACTCTGACCATATGTCTGATTTGCCAGCATTTGATAGGCTACATAACTAACATTTACATATGTACTTGGACCTTAGTCAAAAGGTAACAGTACCCAAGACCTAAAAAAGGAAAGTGATCATTGACATGATATCAAGATTGCTAGACACAGATACATCTTTCTCCATTCTCCAACCACCACCACCCTCTCCCTCAGCCCAAGAATAAACAATGTAAAAACCTGGCACTAACATGTTGCAGTTCTAGGCCAGCTGTGGCTTACCTGGCTTACATAGGTGCATACATGCAAATATATGCTACAGAAGTGTTATGAGTGTTATAAGTGTTATGCAGACGCACACATCAGCCAATACCTTACACATGAAGGTAAAATGCTTTATTATGTTGTGTTCCAACTAAGACTAAACATCTTCTTTGTTGAAAGAGCAACTTCCGAACACCCCAACTCTAAAGCTATCCTTAAACATAATGATACTTCCTTTCAATTCTCAACTCCAATGGTTCTGCATTCATGAATATTTGGGCACTGCACCCTTTTCTAAAGATAAACCTACTTTAAAAATAAATAAATAAATAGGGCTGTGATTGTGGCTTAGGGGTAGAGTGCTCGCCTAGCATGTGTGAGGCCCTGAATTCAATCCTCAGCACCACATAAAAATAAATAAAATAAAGATATTGCATCCAACTACAAATAAAAAATAAATATTTAAAAATAGATAAATAAATAAACTTTTATTCTAAAAAGAGCCAATGAGTAAAATCATTTATTTTAACTTATATGGTTATTTCACTTTATGCATTAATATCAACTATGGCCCTAACCTTATAATAGGTGAAGGATAAAACAGATGTTATCTCTGCAAGAAATAGTCTTCATACAACTGGGGAAAGAATTACATCAGACTCCAGAAAACTAAAGAGAAAAAAAATGCCTTCCAGTCATTCTGGCCACCCTTTCCCCTTTTAGACCTACACACCTGTTCGGCATACAAACATTAAGAAGGAAGGAGAGAAGGTAATATATAAAGAACTGGAGATATCAAGAGAGGTGCATACATGCAAATATTTGCTACCGTAAGCGTTATGCAGACGCACATAATCAAACCAAGTATGCATACTGTAAGGGTAAAGTCTGGTCCTACACACAGACTCACACCTGTGCAAAATGTTATGCACGTGCAAAATACCCCAGCCTCTCACACCTGAGCCAGAAGGCGCTCCACTTTCTCTTGCACCATGGCCTTCAGCTGATCCAAGGTATCAGGCAGCAGACGAACAGAAGGATCCCCTTTAACAGATTCGAGAGCGGCGATCCTAGCCTGGAGGCCGTTGGTTTTCACCCCAAGGTACAGACAAGAAATCACGGCCACCACTGATAGGAGTGTCGCCAGGGCCGTGCACTGGGGCATGGTACGGGCACACCGCTGCCCGCAGGGGCTCGGGTCTTCGGATCCAGACTCTCGACCCCCTCCTTTCCCTGCATGCTTCTTCACCAGCATTGTGGCGGCTGCCTCGGCTTCGCCTTCCACCCACTATCTCCTCCAATAATCTTAAAAGGAGAGGAAAAGGACGATTCCTTTAAAGTTCAGTCTCTGTGGCTGCACAACTAGTTGGTGGAGTCGGAGCCCGGGCGCGGAGATGGACCTGCGCTTTGCTCAGTTTTGAGACCAGCAGGCGTGGACCATCCTCCGCTTCCTTCTCTCCTACCAGTTGAGTGAAAAGCACCCTCAGTCCAGGGACCGGGTGGCGATGGGGTAAAAAAAACCGAAATGAAACCCACCCGGATGGCTCTCCTAACCCTCAAAAAGCAGACACCTCTCCCCAGGTCCCCGAGAGCTGCAGTGTAGGGTCCCGGGGGGCAGCGGGCGCGGCGAGGGGCCGCCGCTCTCCCGCCCCACCGAGCTCTGGACCTGTTGCGTCTGATACTTTGCCTTATTTCTACCTATTCGGTGTCTTTCCGCCGGACGACCAGTTTCCCACCTGGATTCAGTTCAAGGCAAAAAAGGCTGAGCGACACCGGAGAGCGCAGCTCTAGAGGAGCGGCCAAGGGGGAGAGTAGAGAGGAAAACGAAATAACCCAAGGAGCAAACGCAAGTCGCGGCTGCCCTAAGTATCTCCGCAGCCTCGCGTGTGCGAGCTTAAATACCCTTCGGGATGCTCGTGTGCGAGTGTGTGTGTGTGTGAGTGCGCGCGCGCCCCGATCGCGACGTCCCTCCCCCGACCCCCTCCCGGCGCCGGGCGTCCGGTCCGCAGCTCCCGCGGCATTGAGCCCCCCTCCCACAAAGCCAAAACAGGAGTCCGCCTCATTAGCATAATGTATTCACCTTCGCCCAGCCCGCGGGGCCGACTGCGAGACCCAGGAGGGGGCGGGGAGCTTGGGTGGGAGCGGAGCGGGAGGTCCATTATTAGCATAATGTATGCAAATAGCTGGAGCAGCCACCCTGATTGGAGAGGAGCTTGGCAACCCCTCCCCCTCCGCGGAGTAACTTCAGCGTCCCCCAAGGCCACCTCTCTGGTCTGGGCCAAGGGCCCAAGCCCGGTTCGCCGCCGGGCTGCTGGAGGCCACTCTGGCTTACACCCTCCCAGCCCAGCGCCGGCTCTTTATCCCGGTTAAAAATGGAGGAATGGCCTCCAGAAGGGAAGGAGTGAAGCTGGGCGCTCCAATTGTGATCCTCACTCAAAAGCAGCCGCAGGAGCTCTTCCCACTTCGCCCTAGTGCCTCATTTTCCATCCTCCTTCACTTTCTCACATGTCCAGAAGCAAAATGTCTGGTTGATGTCTTAGGTACCTTTCCCCATTTCCCTTCCTTCCTCCAGCCGCGCAGCAGATTCTCCGACAAGGAGAAGTTTTCTCTCCCCCTCCCCCAGTTTCCTTCTGTCTTGACGGCTTGTCTCCCCCCAGCTCTGTGTTCCTACTCTGGACTAGGGTGCTAATGCATTTTCCTGATTCCCTGTTTCGTGGGATTGAAAAGGAGAGTGTTGAGGCACACACATGTCTCAGGAATTAGGAAAGGACTGAAGAATGAGGTCAATTTTTCCTCTTCCCCTACTTTCTCCTCACGCTGTTCCCTCTGGATCAAATTACAGGGTCTCTAATGGGATTTTTGAAAGTTGTAACAAGTAGCATTTTGCATCTAATAGGGATAGGAGGGGGAATAATTATCCCGAAGAGCTCCTTCTTATCACATATTTCCTGTGTTCCTTGACCTCACGATTGTAAGCAATCAACAAAATACTGCACTAAGCTGAACTTTCTCACATACACAGATATTGCTAGGTATGAAATGGGGTAAGAAACTTTCAACATCATTATAGGATGAAGCAGACAACATGGGGGAAGCCTGTGATTTTTGTTATAAAATTGAAACGATAATTCCTTACATTTGTATTACGTAGTGGTTCACAAAGGATGGTTCTGGGTCAATAATACCATCATCACCTGAGAATTTATGCACCATTCAGATTCTGGCAATCCCACCACATATCTTCTGAAGAAACTATTACTAAAATCAGAAGCATAGCAATCTGTGATTTAACAAACCATGCACGCAAAAGTTTCAGAGCCACTAGTGTGACACTTTACAAAATATTTTCAAATACCTTTTTTCATTTGATCCTCATAACCCTGTGAGCCAAATGAAGAATTACTGTCCCTGTTTTATATATAAACAAACAATTTTCAAGTTACATGTTATTGTATTTAGACATATGTCCAATAGTAGGACCAAGGAATGGGCACAAATCTGTGTGTGTGAGCACACAATCTTGTACTGGGGATTAAACCCAGGGCCTCATGTATGCTAAGCATGTGTTCTACCACTGAGCTACACCCCCAGCCTGGTATAAATTTTTAATATGTCTATTCTTTCTGATTTTTCCATTACTTCTCTAATCATTCTTTAGTCTTCTTTGCAGGCTTTTTTTTCTGCCTGTCCCCTGAATGTTGGTACTTCTTGGGTCTCTGTCTTATGCCATCTTGTCCTCTTAATCCCATATACTGTCCCCCAATTACCTTCTTACTGATAAGTCATAAGTCCATATAGAAAGCCCAAACCTCTTTGCCTCAATCCCATACAGCAAACTGTTTGCCATTCCCATCTGGCTGTCCCACTAGCAATTCTCACTTAACCTACATATTACCTCCAAAATATGCTCTTTTTCCTGTTTCCCATCCAAGTATGGATCTCCCATCCATTCAATGTCCCCAAGGGAGAAAAAATAAAGAACTAATAATGCTTGACTTCTTTGCCTTACTCTCCCTGTCTACCTAAATTCCTGTACTACTTCTCATTGTGTTTTGTATTTTCATTTAAGCCCCCCTCACCTCCACACCTGGTGCCTCCCATCTTACCAGCCTCATTGCCCACTCTTTCCCTCATTCTCCTCACCAATTGCTATAAAGTATGGACACAAAGAGAATAAAGAGCTTTTATTTTGGACAAGGCACCACTCTCTTAAAATTTCAGTAGAAAAGTCATTTTCCACCCAAATGCTGACAGTGGATTTTATATTTTCATTGGATGGTGCAATGTTCTTATGGCATGCTTTGTGGAAACGGCCATGAGAAGGCATATTAGCAACTCTTGCAAGCTCTCAGAACTATCAGATCTGGGTAGAGAGATAGAGTTGGAATTTTGTGGATTTGGGACCTTTATCCAAAGGATTAGATTTGCTTTATGTCTTTGGTGGGTACAATACCTCAGAAATGCACCAGCCATTAGCACTAAGATGTCAAACCCAGTAGATTCTTTGCATCATGCACAAAGAATGCATGGATTAACAAAGCTCTGGGAGTTTGAACCTGTGTTGTTCTGTAGATCCATCAGAGCATGGTTATTTTGGTTTCTATGTGCAGAAGGATTCAAAAAAGGTAAAAATAGCTCCAAAACTGCCATAGTCCAGCTGACTCCAACTTGCTTACAACTGCTCTCAATAGTAGTAAAAGGCAAACAGCTGGTTGAAGAACAGGTATGTGGTGGGGAGAATAATGGACCACCCCCACCCCAGATGGCCATGTCTTAATCTCCAAAACTTGTGAATGGCAAAAAAACTTTTACATGGCAAAACAGAGTCTCAGATATAAGTTAAAGATATTGAGATAGGAGATTTCCTTCATTTAGGTAGACGGGCCCAATGCAATCACAAGCTTCCTTATAAGAGGGAGGCGAGTCTCAGAGGGAGAGGAGATGTAATGCAGAAGTTGAAGCTTTGAAGATGGAAAAAGGACAGGAGAAACGTAGGCAGCCTCCAAAAACTGGAAAGGGAGGAGCGAGCGCTCCCTAGAACCTCCAGAAGGAAGACAGCCCTGCCAGCACCTTGATTTTAGGACTTCTGACAGTCAGAACTACAATTAGTAAATTTATGTTGTTTTAAGTCACTCAGTTTGTGGTAATCTGTTACAAACAGCAAAAGAAAGCTAATGTAATAAAAATCACAAGAAATCAATCTTCATCTGCCGTAGCGTCATAAGTGATATTGGAACCACCCAAATGCTTGCAGGCTGTATAGCATTAAATCCCTGCCTCTCAAATGTTTTTGTGTTTCTTTTCTGTTGACATGCTCCCTGGGAAAGGATTGGAGAGCATGCCTTCTCTCGTGTCATGTAAAATTAGGATGCCCTCTACAGAGACATATTAAACTCAATACAATATGCTCTATTTCCATGATGCCTCTCATTTGTACAACTCAGAAACAATAAACCAGTCAAGCAGTACAGACACTCTCGTCTCTCCTCCCATCTAATGCTAGCCTGGCCATGGTCATGACCCAGGACTCAGCATCACTATAGTACTGCTGATACCCATCTCCAAGTCCCCAGAAAAAAAGAAACAAAGACTTCTGACAGAGGTGCATGGGCAGAAGTTGAAGTAAAGAAGATAACTAGGACTGAAAGTGAGAAAACCAAGCAAAAGAGACAAATATGAGGAAATAGAAGAAAAGGATTTCTTTTAGGTGAATTTAGCTAAATTTCTTTTAGCTTAAAAAAAAGTTATCCTCTGCTTCTAATCCCTCCATAAGCTGCTCAATAAAAGGTACACAGCATAAATATGAAGAATGAGCACATTATTTCAAATTTTGATGTTTTACATGTATTTACAAAGATTATCAACCAACCTGAGTCGCTGGGATAATTATGTTCTGCTGTTTTTAGGTAGATACTAATTTACATTAAAGAAAAATATTTTGGTTTGGTTAGAAATTCATTTGGTGCCATTCATTTTGGAAGCTGATTAATTTTCTAAAGCCACAGCTTTAACCTGTGTTCACCACCAAAGTTATCAAACAGAAGCAAATGTAAGAGGGGATTTGTGGCCCTCTTTGTACATCCACACCACCTGTTGTGTCCTCCAAGTACCTTAATAGAGAAAATGGTTGAATAAATTATGTGGGGTATTATGTGTGCTATTTTATAAACTTCAGAGGACAGGGCAACCTCACAGAAATGTCTTCTAGGGAGAGTTTCCCCAAAGGGACAGAGCAGGTAGTGAAGGGTTAAGTGAGTTGAAGCTTATAAGATGTAGTTCCCTCACAGCCAGGCAAATTTCAATAAATCACAAACAAATTATAAATATCTTTCAGAGCAGAAGAGCAGAAAAGAAGGATTTGGCTCTTAGTAACAGCTGAAAAATTCCCTTTCAGACAGATCAAGGAACTGATCCCATTTACACAAGCCTGGTTAAGCAAGGGGCTTACAAGTGTATGAATCCAATAATCTGGACGATGCACACCCTCCAAAATCCCAGTCCTCTGTACACTCCATTTTATGTTTGTTTATTTGGAGGGAGGAGGTGAATTTTTTTTCTCAAACTTTAAATAACAAGGCAGAAAACCCACTATGTAGCTAACTCAAACAAGAGGCAAATTTTCACCAAACTTAACTAATCAACCATTTAGGGTAATGCTATATAGACAGAACACATTTGTATCATTGAGTCAGTTCATGATTAAGAACAGACTCCAGTATGGTGGCACATGCCTGTTATCCCAGCAACTCAGGAGTCTGAAACAGGAGGATCACAAGTTTGAGGTCAACCTCAGCAATTTAGTGAGGCACTAACCAACTTTCTGTCTCAAAATAAAAAGGGCTGGGAATGTGGCTAA